GATTTCCTTCAAACAAAAGCATCCTTACTATTTTATGAATGGATAAACTGAAGTTCAATGTCACTCTAGCAGAAAGATCTTCTGTCTTAAATCTGGCGAATTTAGGACACCTAGATCTTCTAACTTCAAGTTCAGTATTATGTTTGATTATCATTTTTAATTTGAAGGTGTTTTAAAAGGGTGTCCTGCCCCTTGATATCTAAAGGCAAACTTCTTCAGTTATTGGGATAGGAACTGGTATACAGGGGATGGAAAATTAGGCTGCTTGAGCCTCACTTAGTGCCCTGAAGCTGTGTTTCCTTATCAGATCTCTTGAAGCCAGTACTACCAAGCTCACTTTAGGACTGTGCTAAAACATGGCCTATGTTTACTTACTAGGTCACTCAAGAACAAGATGTTATGTTACGTCAGTTTGTTCCTTAGATTTTTAAAAGATTTTAATATACACACACACAAGAGGAGGTTAATATCAGATCGATTAAATGTTAGAGTTTGCATTATTTTAATAGTTTGAAGCAAAGTTTTTAATTAAATTAATTTTCATTTAACATTTCTTGCTTGTATCTTTGTTTTCTAAGTACTGTGTAACCTAAAAACCTGTTAATATAGCCAAAGGAGCTTACTATAGTAAACACTGTAAAAACATGTTCAAGCATGAGAAAAATTATTTATAGCTCTTAAATTTGGGTGCTTAATGTGATCTGAGTCATTAGAAATTCAAGTAGCCTTCCATACATTTTCAATTAGAGTAAGTGGCGCATCTTCCAAAACTCCCATTCTGCCAATGGTGCAATGTTAAGATCCCCCAGTACCTGCTCCTGAACGCTCAGAGTTTCACTGCAGATCTTAGATAGATCACCAAAAGTTCCTGTTTTCCATTCTGTGGCGGGTGGCCTTGATGATTGAGTTGCTTTCTCCAAAACAGCATCATCAAACCAACACGGACAATTTGGGATCATATTAGATGTATCTGTGTGGGCAGAAATGATGCAGTCTAATAAATCAACTAACTAGAAAATTTTCCAAGTCATGATTAACCTTTGGTATTTAATTGTAAAAGAAAATTGAGTGAACCGAGGACACAAGAGACTATGAGGTTTGCAGAATAGGCAGTTATCTGTATTCCTGACTTCATTAGGTTACTAAAGTTTTGTGCTTTGCTAGTCATGGTGCTGACATTGTTATAGCATTGCTGTCCCAAGAAAGGTGATTAATTCTCTCTTGACTTTACCAGAAGAAACAGGCAGAACAGCATACCTCATAATTAATATCATCCTTTTTTATTTCATACAGAAAAATTGGCTTATGTGTGTGACTTGATAAAACATTTAATTGAGAAGAAGCCTTACTAATTGCATTCAGTGAAGTGAAATGCTCCCTGAATAAGAGCATTTACTGGTTAAATCACATTATCAACACAGCTATAAATCTGAATCATCTAATTCTAATGAGATTTCCAGACTTTTCTTCATTATCTGTATGGGTAAAATTAATCATTGTGTATCAGCTTGACTTCATGCATATGTACATGCAAATAAAATTGTATATTTCAGTGTGCAAATGAAATTAGGACAATTTAGATTATTTTGATAAAGCAGAAAGATTAACTTTGGGGATTCTTTTGTCTTCTAATAGTAATTGTAACATTATGGATATTCATGAAAAAGCTAGCAAGAGGAGACAACAGTCCAGCAGTTGGATTTCTTGATGAGAAAGGAATATAGACTCCATGTTGTCGAGTAGGATTACCCCTCGGAGTTTTTATTTATTTTTTTCTTTTTTAGCTTTTCTAGCTCTGTTTGGTGAAAATTGATAAAGGTATTTCCTACAAAGATGATTTCTAAAGGCGGGGAGGGAGAAGAGAGTTCCACTTGAAAATTTTGCCATATCCTTCCCAAAAGGGAAATGGTATGTTCGTTTTCCATTCCTGGAGAACTTTTAGTTCTCTCTGACACTTATTTCAGCTTTGAGACCTGGTGGCTGAAAAGTGAGCCTGTCCTGGATGCTTCCTTTTGTCCTGCAATTGCTTGTGTGGGTTTTCCCTTGACTGTGAGTTCCTCAAGGGAAAATACCATGTCTTATTTGCCAGTGTGGCTTCACTACCTCTAATAGGGGTCATGAAGGAACACCTAAAATTTTTTATTGACCCAAGGTGCAAATATACTTAGCCCTATTATGCAACCACTATATTACTTAAAATGCAAGTTACTTTGTGCAATTTCACTTTGAAATTTTACACAGAGAATAAATTCCTTTAGAATTTCCTCCAAGGAATTAAAAATTTATTCTTTCAAGTTAGCTTTCATTTTTGGAGGTAGTCCAAATAATTTGGATCTAGATCTGAGAGATCAAAGTAGTTGTTCCTGCTGCACAACCATTCTTTGTTTTATTTTTTTCTATGTTTTTCTAGTTAGCTTTTAAAAATTGACACATAATACTTGTGTGTATTTATGGGCTATAGTATGATAGTTTATTATATACAAATATACTGTGTAATGAAGAAATTCAGATAATTAGTACTTCTACCTCCTCAAACACTTATTGTTTCTATGTTTGAAAACCTTCAGAATCTTCTAGTTATTTTTAAATATGTCATTCACTGTTATATACTGTGGTTCCCCTACTGGGCTACAGAATACCAGGACTGATTCCTCCTATCTAACTGTGTTTTGGTACCTGTTATCTACTCTTTCTCCATCCCTTTTCTCCCTCTGAGTCTCTGGTGACCACTATATTACCCTCTTTTTCTATGAGATTAATTTTTTTAGCTTCCCTAAATAAGTGGGAACATGTGGTAGTTGCTTTTCTGTGCCAGGCTAATTTCACTTAAAATAATGTTCTAGTTTTATCCACATTCCTAAAAATGACTAGATTTATTCTTTTTTTATTGCTAAAAACTTTTCCATCTTTAGTCAATGTATCCATTCCAGTCAATAGTCACCTTGGTACATTCTACATCTTGACTATTGTAAATAGTACTGCAATAAATGTGGGAGGGTGGATATCTTATGATCTAATGGTTTTGTTTCTTTTGGATACTCAGTAGTGAGATTGTGGAACATTTGGTGTTCTTTTATTAATTTTATGAGGAACCCCAAACTGCTTTCCATAGTGGCTGCATTAATTTGCATTCCTACCAATAGATTTCCCCTTTCTCTGTACATTGCCAGTATCTGTTATTTTTCTGTATTTTTGATAAAAACCATTCTAGCTGGGGTAAAATGACACCTCACTGTCATTTTTTGTATTTCTCTGAGGATTAGTGATGTTTGAACACTTACTTATTTTTAGTTGACAAAAATTGTACATGTTTTATGAAGCACCAGGTAATTGCTTTGATATGTGTATACATTGTATAATGTTCGATCAGGACAAACATCTATCTCCTCAAACATTTACCATTTCTTTGTGGTGAAATGTTCAAAGTCCTTTCTTCTATTTTTTTTTGAAAAATAAAGCACATACTTATTATCTATTGATATCCTATTGCACAATAGAACACCAGAATTTATTTCTTTTATTAACTATGACTCTGTACCCACTGATAAACCTTTTCCCATTCCTGCCTCACCTTATTCTTGTCATATGTGGTAAACATGATTGTAGTTGATAAGGGATATTTTTTCCTATATTGATGGCATTTTTGTGTCTTCTTTTGAGAAATGTTGATTCAGATCATTTTTCATTTTAGAATTGGATTTATTTATTTTGCAGTTTCCTTATATGTCTGGGCATTAGTTCCTACTCAGTTGACTAGTTTTATGGCCCTTAAAATTTCTACCTTATTTTGTACCTTTTATATGTGGATTTTATATGCCTTATTTGACTCTAATGCATTGGAACCCAGAAACAAATCTCCTTGGGTCTTGACTTCTCTGTGCCTCTCAGCAGAGTGCTTTGCATATTTCAGAGGCTTGATAACTATTTGTTGGCATTATGAGCATCAGGAACTCATGTATAAATTGACAGCAGTAATGGTTTGGGCATTTAAGACTATGGCTACTGTGATACTTTGTTAACAGCTTTTGGAATTTAGAAAAATTTTATTCATTTGAAAATCTAGTAGTTGTGCATATGATTCCTTACTCATCATTCAGAGTAAGTTGTTACAGAGCCATGAATAATTAGGATACTCGGGAAACGGTGTTCTGAAAATTTAATTTTCTGGTTAACTCAGATTTAAGCAGAAAATCTTGTTTACTTCATTTCTTGTTGAAAATTCTGAAATACGCTAATTTCTGACTAACCCAAAGAATACCATTAAAATGTTCTCTGATAAATGAGGATATTAAATGTCTTTGGGTAATTATTACGTACTTTAATTTTCATTTTACATTACCATATATGTATTAAAAGATATTTGGGTTTGGATTATATCTCAAAGGTTCTTTTGATTTTCTAGTACATCTAACCTTTTGCATTATTTCTGAGTGGGGAAAAATTCCTGATATGCATTCATGTATTGTGTAACAATGGGAATGTATCTTGAGAAACATTAGGTGATTTGGTCATTGTGGAAACATCATAGCATGTACTTGCACATGCTAAGATAGCTATGATGTCAATAAAGGATATAATTTTAAAACATGGCTGAATATGTGATCTGTTCTTGACCAAAAAATTATGGGTTATAAAAAATTGTAGTTTTATAACCACAAACATAGAAAGAGCATCACATAGGTTTTAACTTATTTTAATGAATTAATTCTTCACCTTTAGTTAAGTATTTCTCAAGTATTTTGTTACATGTAAATATTGTTGAAGTCTCAGTTTTCTCATATGTTTATAGAACTATATATATTTAACATATATAACATTTTACTCCTTAGCCTTTGTTTTTCCTTAAAAAGATTTTTGTTTTAAAAGTTTTCCTGAAGTATGTGTAGTTTTGAATTCATAGCTTTACCTCTGGCATAATTCTTTTTTCTATTTTGCAGAAGATTTATTTATTCTAGTTTATAAATCTAGAATAATTTCAAGATAATATTAAAACAATAATCATGAACACCAAAGATTTTGTAGTTCTTCCATGGGGAAAACCTGGAAATTCTGTAAAGCTAAAATATAAGTAAGTACATACATATATATGTATATGTATTTCTTAAATAATAGTGGTTGCTGAAGTTTCTATATATTGTAAACCAAACCATTCTTTTTACATAGACTACTTAAACTCAAAGTTTAAAACTTCTTATGTCTACTTTTTCCACATTGCTATATTTTTATCTACATGAGTAAGATTTATTTATTTATTTACTTGGTAGTACTGGGATTTAAACTAAGGGCCTTGTGCTTGTGTGGCAGTTGCATTATCACTTTAGCTATACCTCCAGCCCTTTTGCTGTAGCTATTTTTCAGTGAGAGTTTATCATTTTTTTGCCTGGGCCAGCCTAAGACTATAGTCTTCCTGGCTCTGCCTCCTACATTGGTAGGATTATAAACATGAAGCACCATGCTTGGTTCGTTTTTTAAAATGAGGGTTTCATTAACTTCTTTTCCCAGATGGCCTTGAACCTTGATCCTTTAGATCTCCATCTCCTGAGTAGATGGGATTAAGGCATAGGTTTGAAATATTATAATCTATGACAGTTTTTAAAATGAGGACTAAAAGTGTTTATTCTACAAGAAATCTAAGTGAAAAGTTGTAAATAAAGATTGGGTTCATTAATTACTGAAGCAACATAATAGGAAGTTAAGATATTTTTGTGACCCTATACAGTGTTAAAAAAAGAATCACCTCCAAATTTAGAGAGAAACTGAAACTGAAGTGTTTGTTAGGGTAAGATAAAGGGTATTTATTGTCTTAAATACATCTTTCCAGGAAAGGTACCTTCTGTCCTAAATTAACTAAGAAATGCATTCAGCTAGAGCCAAACAACTCTGGGAATCTGGGAATTTTGTTGCTGGGAGATGCACACACATTTTCCCTCTGAGATCACCTCAATCATGAGAAACCTTTAAGGCTGAAGAACCAACCAGCATGGGTTGGGGACAGACTGTCGTTTTAGTTTTAGGTTTTGAGTTCTTGGATTCAGATCAGCAGACTTATGTTTATTCAGTGTCTTCATAGCTTTTGTGATGCTTTCTTTGCTTTTGAGACACTGGTTAAGAGCAGGGTTTAAACTGGAGAATGTCCTGCAAATAGCTGGCATTATCATTATTATATGTGCTATCTTTTCATGGTGAAAGAAACCATGAAATAACTAGTACTATCGGTTTTTATTTTTAGAAAAAGAGAAAAGGACTTGTATTACTTAATTTTAGTTAAACGTTTTAGCTCTATGTGTCTCTGTCTAGCAGACGTGTGTTAAGTACATGTTATGCACATTGTTCTGAGGTATAGCGGATGCAAGCCACAGTCTTTTCCCTCAAGTATCAGAAGATGTGAAGCAAAATTCATTTTCAATATAGTATGAAGTATGTAGTGAAAACATGGCCCACACTGCTGGACAGGGGTGAGGGCTTCCAAGTTTTTCATGAGATATGCAGATAGTTGGGTAGTTATTGAGTGAAATATTTAGAACGGCACATACCCAACATGGTTTGGGGACTTTTCAACTTATCCAAGTGACTGAGTTTATAGATAAAGCTGGAGAAAAGGGCAGAGTCTAGATAATAACTGACTAGTATTTCAGGCTAAGGAGATTAGAATTTATCTTCAAAACGAGGGGGCACTGTTTCCTAGGCTGTATTTCTCCCCAATCCACACATGATCTATACATTCACAAAAACTAGGACAAGAACACTTGATCTGTGCTAAGTGCTATGATGGTTTCCTCCTCACCATTTCCTTATTCCAAGCTTATTTCCCTTGTGTTGTCTTAACAACCATCTTACGTTGTTAACATTCCGGTGTTCTCCTACTCTTTTTCCCTTTTTCCTAGCCTCTAATATGTTTTAATCTTACTTCAGCTCTTGTATTTATTGTGTTGGACATTGTCTCTCCAGGATTAGCTTAGAGTCTCTCAGGGGCCTTGCCTGCCTTTCTAGCTCTGTGTTTAAGGCTCCTTCTAAAAGGAATCCCATGGAATTGAAACAAAAACTTGGCCACTTGATTAAAAATCCAGTCCTTTATCTCAGTTTTGCCTCGTTCATCTTATGCATTAGGAACTACAGAAACATTATAATAATCTTCTAAGTCAATGAGTGACACAATCATGTTTGTGCTTTTGAACACTTCCTCTGGAAGCAGTATGTAAGTGTTACACGCTGTTGAGGCTTTGGGCAGCAAGATCATTGGGTACCTACTTCTGAACTGGTCCCCAGTTGTCCTCAGAGTGGTCTAGTTCAAGAAGTGACACCAGTTGTAAGTTTGGGATTTTTAGATTTCCTTTCTGCCTCCTCCTTGGTCAGTCATCTACTTCTGGTCATTCTATAAGACCAATTAATTCTATTTTCTTTTATTTACAAGATGCTCTCATTTTTCTCTCCTTTTGCTCTACTAAGATCAGCATAGTCTCTAAATTTTGGATTATTGATATGGTCTCCTTACTGGCTGACTTGCTTCCAGCTTAGCCACTTTTAATTGATTTTCTGTAATACAGCCAGAGTGACCTTTGCAAATGCATGTCTGATCAATTATCCTAAGATCCTTTAATGGTCCTCATTGTTAGCTGAATACAAATCTCAGTGCCTCATGCTGACTCACAAGATTCTTTATGATCTGGCCACTGTCTACCTCAACAGATCTATTTGTTGCCACTTTCCTCATCTTATACTTAATGCCTACTCATAGGAAACTTCTAGTTTATTGGCTCACACATTACATTTCACTAACTGTGTCCATACTCTTCCTTCCTCCTGAACACACCTCTTACCACCTCCCTTGGCCTGACTAAGTTCTTTCACCATTTGCGTGTCAGCTCAGACTTCACTTTCTCTAGGAACCATTCCTGCAGTCTTGGGACCAGGGTATGCACCTTTTCTGTGTGCTCAGATGGTATCCCTTGTGCTTTCCCGATGGGAGCACCATCACACTGACTCACTTGACTGCATTCCTTTCTGTACTAGAAGCTGCATTGTTTCATCTGTCACTCATCACAGTGCTGTGTGTAGTAAGAGCTGAACCTCTCATTTTGGAGTAGAAATAATGAAAAAATGACTCTCCCTCTATGCTTTGGTGGGTTTCTTTGAACCTTCTGAACAGACTTTGACTAGTATCACCTTTGAGATATCTCCCTGGGGTGTGTCTGTTTAGGGACATAAGCTTGGTCCACTTGCTCTTTGGTGATGGCGTGGCACCTCTTTAAATTAGTTCCCTTCTCTTATATCCATTATTCTTCAGTTTAGTTCCAGGACACAGTGTTCACACTACTTGATTATAAAAAAACTAATGTAATAATGAAGGAAAAGATTTAGACTCATAATAGATAATAAAACATAGAGAATAGGTTGGTTTACATCCATGAAAGAGTCAACAACTGATGCTGACAGGAGACCAAAATTGTAAAATGAAGAAAATGCCTTGTGTCCAAAGCTCAGTGAGCTTCAGATATTATCAAAATCTCTTGCACAAGAATCTCCTACTTCAAAACCTTAATAAGAGTTTTCATCCTAAGAGACTCCCAAAAGGTTCTGCTTTTCTCCTCAAACATTGTGCATGTCATAAAGATAATAGATTTATCTAAGATTGACAAGCTATCAGTTCAACAAAAATGTGTACTTTGCCTATGTAGAAAAAATAATTGTTTTAAGTTGGGGATATAGCTCTGTGGTAGAATGCTTGACTAGCCTGCACAAGGTCTTGGGTTCAATTCCCAGTATTATATAAAATATATATATGTGTATATAATAAATACATAAATGACTCTGTTCGAAATACTGTGCTTCAGATTGTTGGATATACTAAAGGCTAAAGAACAGAAATTAGAAAATAAAGTTGTCTTGTTTGTTTGTCTCAGATATTTATATATATAAAGACATGGCACATATATAGAGTGAATAATGATTTTACATCTTTAGCATTGGGTTAGGAAAAGCAAAGTGTAAGATTTGAAGACATGCCTTGCTGAACAATATTAAAAGGCAAGTGCTAACTTTATAAATCATACTTCAAGAAGTACACTGGAGCTAATTAATTATTATTATTAATTTTAATTTGATTTAAGAGCAAATTACTATTATTTTAATAAGTTTACTTATTAGGATATATTCATTAGACAAGGGGGATTTATAGTGACAATTCCGATTAAGCTTATATTGTACGTCAGTTACATTGCACCATCACAGAGACCCTCCTCACCCCACTTAAAGCAACTGTAAGAAGTTTCTTTGTTCTATTTCATATAAGTATATGAAGTCCATCAATCATATACCTCACCTTCATCTCCTTCATTCACTGTCCTACCTCTTACTAGTATCCCCCCCAGCATGCTGTACCTATTTTACAGTCCTGTATTTCATTATTAATATTTAAGTTGATGTTAAAAGGGGTTTCTCAATGTGTCCCTGCTGTGGGTATACTTTACTTTGGTCCACTCAACCCCTTCCATTACTCTCCCTTACGCCTTTACCTCCCCCCACATTTTTCAACAGCTGTCAATACACATCCTTATATCATCTATCTTCACATCTTATGTTATACAATATTATGGGTGTTTATCATTCTCTTTTCCTTTTCCTCTTTCACCGAGTTCCACAGAGTAGTTCCACTGTTATAAACATGTTCTACATCTGAGTTTGTATATGATCATGCTTGTTTTTGTATATGTGTTTGTCTTTGGATCCATCTTCCATATATGAGAAAAAACACGTGGCCTTTGTCTTTCTGATCCTGCTTATTTCACTTCACATGATGTCCTCCAATCGCATCCATTTACTATTAAACTACATGTCATTAATTTTTATAGCAGAGTAAAACTCCATTGTGCATATATACCACATTTTCTTAATCCACTCATCAGTTGTAGGGTACCTGAGTTGTTTCCAAAGTTTGACTATTGTGAATAGTGCTACAAAATTATTTTTGCCTTGGGTTTTGTTTGCTTACTTAAGTAAACAGTCTATACTTAAATTTCATGTCTTCAGAAATGCTCAAGAACTGCGAATGGAGAAAATACAATTAGAACTGGAGAACCAAGACATGGAAAGGAAATTACAAGAATTCCAATTAACAAGGAACAAAGAAAAAGAAGAAATAAAGTGAGTGGATTTTTAAGAGAATTTTAGAGGAATACAGTGAATAATGAGAGGAATAAACTGCATATTCAGTAACATGCTAATTTCACTTTGCTATTAACTGTGGTAATTAACTGTGCTAATTTAACTGAATTATGTAAAGAACTGTTTTAAATGCTATTACTATTGTAATAAAAATATTTAGTGTATGGATAATTTCTAGCTTTCCCTGATGAACAACGAATATTAAATTTCCTCTACTTCTTGTTTCTGTGCCACTTACATAAGGCATATTACTTTAAAAAATTACCATGATTTTGTTTCTTCTGAACTTTCTTGGTCTTATCCTTTCAGATTTCTGTTCTTACATTATACTTCTTAATGATTTATGGTCTGCAATGCTTGGGACAACAATATAAACTTTGCCCTTTGCTTTTAGAGGATTGATGTGAACTGTACATGAGAACCACTTTATGTTTAGGGAAATTTTATTTACTAGAAGGGTTTTAGTGGCAGGAGTTTTCATTAATATGCACCAGAATCATTTAAACCCATAGGTATGTTTGATTAAGTATTTTTAGCAAATACTAGTTAACTGATATTTTATTAGTGAGAGCTCCTTAATATTATGCTTGCATATCTGTGCTAATTTAACTGATTTTTTATTAAAAAATAATTATAGCTGACAAAAGTCAAATAGTGTTGATAGGTATGTGATGGAAATTAAGTCTTATTAGCTCTAAGCCCACTATAATGATTAAAATTATTTTTCCCTACAAATGTCTTTTCGTTGTAAAAGTATAGGTGTATCCATATGTGTGAGCATGTATGTTGTTTATATATTTGATGTTTTTTATGTTTTACAAATGAAGCTATCTATAAATTATGGAAATAATTCATATCTTATTTTTTGCTTAATGTATTTTAGTACTCTTGTCACATGGACACACATTGACTTTTCTCATTTTCTTGGACATAACTTTTCTATATTTTGTGATTGTGCTCTAATGGACAAACTTGAACATGTATTTTACTTGCATGGAAGGACATATTTAGGATAAATTCTTACCTCCTTAATTTTAGCTAAAAGTGTATGTGCATTTTATGTCATGATAGAGGTTGAGAAATTGTCTTCTAAGTAGGTTTCAAAGTTTATAGCCCTCTGTAGAGTGTGAGGACACATGTTTCATGTGCATTTGCTGGTGCTGAATATCACCAAACTCTGTATATTAAATTTACTTCTGGTTGGTCCTCAAATATCTATGTAGTACTTTCTGAACCATTAAAGGAAATTCAGATATGTTTCTTATAGTCTGTAATATTTTTTAAAGTCCAATTCTGTGTAAGGTTTCCATGGTACACATACATACGCTCTTAATAACCACAACGTTGGTTTAACCGAGGCATCTCGTAGAACATGTCATCCCAGATAATAAAGCTTATCTTGCTGCTGTTCTCTTGGTAAGGCAGCAGCCATTCTTTTTTCATTTCACTGACTTGGACTCTTTTGGGGCTTTCCAGTGGATCAGGATCTTCATCTGTGAATCAGAGTTCCTGGAATCAGCCTGCTCTCCAAACTGAGTTTTCTTTAGCAGTAGAAGCTTATGTGAATTTTTAGAACAGTTACATTCTTTTCTAAGGTCATACAGATAGTAAATGTCATAGCCAAAATGAGAACCTGCCACTCACTGATCAGGAAAATAGAACTCCAGTGTTCCATTTGGGCATTATTATTTATTATGTGTGTGACATTGACCAAGTTGTCTCATTATTTTTAAATGAGACCTGGACTCCATGTCCTGAAACCTTCAGAAAATTTTTGTGAGACTCAACTAAAAATGCTTGGAACACTGTAAAACTAACTGTACCTTATTTTCAATCTGTTGGAGCTCATTGGAAGTCTTAATAAGAAATTTATCACCTTAGTAGATGTGCTGAATAATTTGAATATTGTTTTGCTTTCTTATCCTGTTCACATTTGTGAATGCTTAATTTTTAAAACTTCATGACAATTTGTAAAATTTCCTTTAAATCAGTAAAACTATGTCCAATCATTATAGTTGTCAAAAATGGAATTTTCCATCTGTGTTTAGACATTTCCTTTTATTTTCTCCACAACCATCACAAATATGATAAAGTTGTATTTTAAAATTACTGAGGATATTGGGGCATTATTGATATTTCACTTTCATTTGTGGTGGTTTGTTACATATTAACATCTAAATTTGTGTTTCGGAAACAGAGAAAATATATTTGTTTTCATTAAAAGAAGAAATTTTTTTAGTAATTATATTTTGTTTTGTTTATGTCTATTGAAGGTCAAGTGGATATCACTGGAAATCTGGAAAAGTGAGCAAATTGTGTAATCAATCACACACAATGTCACAAAATAGAGGAAATGCTATTAAGGTAAGAAGATACCATCTGATTCTCAGGCAATTTGCAAAGAAAGAAGATATAAATTGTTTTTTAAGCAGTGCATTCTAATCCAAACTTGGGAATCCATTATTCTTGTTTTAATAACTGTACATAATATTAGATTTTAAATTATTTTTTATAGGTTAATATGCAGTTTTCATATTTAGATATATTTTTGTTTTTCATCTACAAGTTGACTTATAAAAATTTACCCTGAGGTGGATTTTCCATTCAGACTTTGTCCAAATTTCAAACAGAATTTTTCCGTTCAGTTCAGTTATGATTTAAAGTATTTGAAACAGAACTATATAGTTCTGTATGAAGGTGAAAGCTAACTTTATTCCTAACTTTATATTGTTTCACATTTGTTTAATGTTTTTATAATCTGCTTATTCATATACTGTTGATGTGATACCACATCTGAAGATACCAAAGAAAAAAATGTATCTTAGTTTCCCAGCTACATAGCTATAAAACTTTATCTTTATAACACATATTTATCTTTATCTTTATAACATTGCATAATATTTAAGATTAAAGCAAGCGAAGTGTCTTTATATAAAGAACTGTTTTGCTTCTGGTTTCTGTAGCACAAGATTCGTGATTTTGTAAGTTTTAAGTTACACAGCTTTCTATTTTTTATATATCTATCATTAAACTTTCATTGGGTCAGTTAGCATCTACAATTGTCTTACTTGGCACTTTTAAACTTTTTGGCTTCAAGAATCCCTCATTTTATTCTACAGTGTCATTCTCTGAGTATAATAGATTTCTTTAAATTTGGGGGTTAAAAGCTTTATAATCCACTTTTAATTTTTCATTATCTTTCTGAACTAGTGTTCAGTGTTTCACATGTGATTGAAACTATAATGAAAATGCTGGTTGTGTTTATTGATTTTGTGATTATTGACATATATTTCCTAGCATTTATTAAATGCTTTTTTAGACTTGTAGTGAATTATCTTTGTTATCAAGGAGGTCTTCATCTAACATGAAAGATAAGGTGCATTAAAGTATTTTTAGTAAAAATCTATATGAAACTTTTGCTGTATTCATTTAATGTATGAACAATGTGTGTTTGAGAAATAATAGCTCAGTTCTACAAATATTTGAGAGTTTACTGAGTTCAATTATAAGGAATTGAAAATTATTTCTGTTAAACAACACTTTGTAATGATTCATGGCATACTGTTTTTCACTCTACACTATATAGAATTACTTAATGAACCCATTTTTATTCTTTCTTTTGTTGTACTTGTTTTCCAGTGTTTATACCTCTGATATTTAGCATGTAATAATTATTCAACATTTACAAAATAACAAAAACCCAAATATATGGTTAAAAAAAAGGAAAAATGGAAGAATAAATAAAAATCCCTGCCCATACAAATATCACAATTAAGATGGAATGTGAAAGCAGGGATGGGTCTAAAACATGATGGGAATACTGGGCGGAGGTAGAGGTCTTGAGTCCTAGACTCAGGAGTCTTGGTATGTTTCATTTGGTGAGTAGAATTCTGTGCTCCCTTACAGTGTTTGAGTAGTAGGACTGCAAGATTAAGATAATGATTTATAATGATCAATCCTGTCCAAATATCCAGTGCCTATGGAATTAATAGAGTATACATCAAGTAGTTGTAAACAGTTTTGATCATGTAACACAGGTAGAAAGAAAGACTTTGAGCATGGACTTCCTACACATATACTTTTATTTATTTATGTACTTACTATCTTACTAAAATCATGTGCATTATAAAATAAAGTATGAAAAATAATGTGGAAAATGATGTTTTCTACTTCCCAGTGACTATCTGAGATCCCCTGGGCATGCATGTATGAATGCCACTTTGAAGGTCACTGGTGTAGAGCAGAGAAACTATTTGGAAGACTGTGAAAAGAATCTAGAAATCACATGGAAGGAGTCTTAATTGGAATGGAAGCAGAAGAAATAGAAAGAGAAATATGAAATATAAAATAGTAAGAAAAGAAAGAAGGAAGCCAAACCTATAATTGACATTATAGGCTAGATTGACTAAGAGCATAAAAAAAGGAGAAAGAAAAGTCTGGGGCATAAATTTATAATATTGTTTTAATTTTTATGTGATAGTTGAGGCTGGACAAGTGTGTCCCTAAGAATTTATATAAATAAGAGGGTGAGAAAAATAAAGCTCAAGGGAAGCCAGTGTGCAGAGTAGGGTAGCAAAGAACTTGGATATTTACTCAGTGTGTTTTATATCAGTTAATAATTTAGCTGCTTTTCCTTCTTATATCATTTAGTACTTATATCACTCCTAAGAGGCAGCTAATTATTGTAGTTCCACATCAAAGAAGTCAAGTGTTAAGGTTAAGTATCAAGGCTAAGATTTGAAATGCAGGTTGCCAGTGAAGATAGACTGAGAAGAAAAGGAATAACAGGAATGGAATCAAAGTGGTATGATTTCATAGAAGATGAAAGTAAATAAATGAAGGCACTTTTAGAAAATATGGAGCTGTCAATATAATCAATACATTGTGTAGTGAAAAATGTGTTGAACGTTGATTTAGTCCAGAGCTTCTTACAGCGGCAATTTTGCTTTCCAGGGGACACTTGCCAATGTTTGAAGGCATTTTCAGTTGTTACCACTGAGAGAATTCTTTTTGGTTGTTTTTGATAAAGGAATTTAGCAAATACAAGTTAGGGATGTAGCTAAACATCTTATAATGAACTGGACAGCCCCCTCTACAAAGGGTTATTTGGCCCAAAATATCACTAGTGCTTCAGCAATCCTGTGTTAGATTAAAATTCTTACTTAGAAAGTTTTGCTCTGACATCTTAGGCAAGTAATTTTGAATGTACCTTTCCACATTTGTAAACTTAACATGTTTGTAATTACATCATAGAGTTTTAGTAATGTTACTTCAAGATCATATTAAAATGTCCACATTTGGAAAATAAGACTATTAAAAGAACTAAGTTTAATGATTGGCTTATTATTAGATGTGAACATAGATTTCAAGTAGCTGAAAAGGAAAAGGTAGGAGGCTAATAAAAACTATTGTTGCAGCGAACACAAGAGCAGAGAATGGTATTTTAAGAGTTCAACGGGATCAAGGGATAACTTTATTATATGGTTTTTAGGGGAAATGAGATGAGCCAGTTTATAGGCTGAGGAAAGGGTATGCAAGCAGGGGAAAGATTGAAGATGCAGATGCGAGAAGTACCAGTTGTGAGTGTGGCATTTGAGGAGGCGAGTCATTAAAGAAGTCTTCACCAGGAAGAGAGAGCACATTTTCTCTGAGGAGAGCAAAACACATGGAAATAAAACCAAACTTTAGAGGTTGGGTCTAGCAGGTGGTCAGGGGTAGACACTGTGGAAAATTATCATAGGAAGATGTGAACATTCTTAGTAAAGATGAAGGCGGTGTCATATGTCATATGTTCAGGTGAGGACAGGAAACGGGATGAATGTGAGTTCTTGAGAAGAGAGAAGATTTGGAGTAGCTACTTTGGGAAGCATGATTGGGGCTTAGCAGCAAATGAATAAATGATTCACTGGGGTTATTTAGTATGAATTTATAGGAAAACCCACAGTATCATTTCATGACAGTAGTAGGTAAATGTGGGAGAAAGAAGAGAAGGAGATAAGGTGATTAAGGTGAGCACGAAAAAAAAAGTTTGGGAGTTTGAAGTTGTGACCATTCAGAATGCTGCTTAGGTACAAGGTTTGGTCACAATGGTAGGGTGACTGAAGATGTTCACAGTAGTCAGCAGGCATGTTAAGGGTATGATGTCAGGTAAATGTGGGCATTGAAGTATCCACGGTTATCAGTCAGAAATGAGAGCGAGAGCAGTACTGAGAAGATTGCTGAAGTTGAAGTGGGAGATGATCCTAGATAATGGAGGTAATAAGTGGGTGATGGGGACAATCATTTGCTGAATGGTGACAGTGGACCTGTATTCCAGAAGCAGTGCTCAGGAGCAAACAGGGAGCATTTTTTTGTTCTTTCTTGGAGAGTGAAAGGGAACGAGAAAAGAACAAGTTCCTCTGGACAGTACTATGGAGCAAGGTGTGTTTAAGGAAAGGTAATTTTCAGTTAATGTGAGCTTTTGGTTGCAACATTTTGGAAAGATTTAAAGCACAATATACTGAAGGAGCTTTTCATAGGGTTGTATGGAATGGTAGGGGAGCCTGACTGAAAAATGGCAAATGTTCAGTAGTTAATGTACAGTAGTTGAGAATATCTGCCAGGGTGGCTTGTGGGAGGATTTAGGACCCTATGTAGCAGATTAAGGCATCAGTGGGAGTGTGCAGGCATTTGTGAATGCCAGGGAGATTGAAGACCACAGCATGGTTTGACTGCAATGGCTCAGATGATGTGACTGTGTAGATCCAACTAACCTGCCCAGGCCCCTGAAAAATCTCTTCTTTAACACCTACTGGTGGAGGCATAAGTGGATTAGTAAGGATAGGCTTTAGTATATGCAATTCCCAATGTTTCAGATGCACACATATATACATATACATGTACATATGTTCATGTGTGTGCACATACACGTGCACTTGTGTGTCCTTGGTCTAACCCTACTCCATCACCCAACCTTTTCTCAAACAGACAACAATTTGTCTTGATGAGGAAATTCTATTTGCCTAAAAATAGCAGCTAGCAGCTTTTTCTCTGATATGTTTATACAATTTGAATAATGTGAAGTAAATATGACTACATTCATAAGACAGAAAAATAGTCATAGCAATAAAAAGAAATTATAAAATTTCCTTCATAATTGTTTCATTTTGCTTCCATATATCTATCCAGCCTGATCAAGTAGCTTATAACCATCCAGATCATATTGCAATTCAGATGTATCATTAAAGTAATCATATTGGATAATTTGGTTATGAAAAATGAGATTAAATTATCTGTAACTTGGATAACATTTCCAACTTAAAAATAAAAGTGTGATTCATATAAAAGTTGACTATTTCAATCTTAATTTTCTTTTCTGCTGCATTTGGTACAGAAAACATCTGAGCAGCTACTTCAGAAAATGTGAACAATAAGCGCCTCTTTGAAGCAAAACCACAGAGAATAATTAGGTCTGAATTTTCAAAGATGACTGCATTTGGTAGAGCCATAGACACAGAGGCAGTCATTGTTCTCATCTCATGTACAAATTGAGCAATTGAGCATGCAAATTGCAAATTGAAAACTGGGTATGGATTGACAGTGTCTATATAAATGCACATCTTCCTCTGGGCTCATTTGTGTACTTTAAATGTTGGTTTTAGCAAGACCAAGGAGAATATGTTCAATTGGCAGGTCTGCTTTATTTCCTAAAGTGTTAAGATCCAAGAATGTTAAGTGATTATTTGAATATCCGGTAGTGAATCTTACTAATTTAATTTTTATGGTTACAACAAAGAAAAGCCAGGGATCATAAATAATATATTGAAGTTTAAGGCTATGATGCAAAAAACATGTGGTTCTCTAAATTGGGCAAACAAGATAATAATACTGGCTTCTGTAATTAAGTAAGCCGAGTAGCTCAGTCACAATCCTGTTTGGATTCAATCTCTACAAATATTAGACTTTATGTACTTCAGAAGCAGCAGAGATAGAAAAGAGTTCACTGGACCTTCACAGCATATGGATGCTAGCATGTTCTTAAAGTCATTTCATGAAGATGTATGAGGACTTTTGTTTCAAAAATTTCTGGTGTTTTTTAAAAGTTAGTTTGTATATTCAGTATTTGCAAATTTTACTTTCTTTTAAAAATAAAATTACTATAAAGCTTATAAAAGCTTTAATGATGATCTTGTTAATTTTATATTATTCTTTCATAATAAAATTTTGCATAAATTGTACCAAATGGTACAAATTCCTAATGTTTTTGTTAGTAATTTAATTTTCATTGAATAGAAGAATATATTTCTGACAAATAATATCTATTTCATTAATACAGCTTTCTGCTGGAAAGGTGAAATTAAAATTACTGAAGCAGCAGATTCAAGGTAAACAGTTTACCAATGTATTGTTAGATACTAAAGATATATTTCATTTTCCTTCACCTTTGAAATACACATAAGGCTAAAGTACTAGGATCTCCCATGTAGCAGAAACATTCTAAATGCTCAAATGTTGACATTTTGGTTTTCAAAATAAATTTTACTCAAATTTTTGGTCAAAAATGCCAACTTAGAATATAATTAGTATAATAACTCCTTACAAAGTGAGGACTCTCATAACACTGTTCCTTAAAGTTTGTTGATATAATCTTTAAATCATTAAGAGAATGTAGGAATATAAAACTATAAATTAAAATATCATTCTGGGAAATGAAAAGAACAAGAAGTTGCTTTATATTTTAATATATTATTGTAAAATAGCAAAACCACAAAATAAAATTTGAATTCGTAATGATCTCAAAGGAAATAAGATTTTTAAAAACTTTATATTTTTCCATTTACTTACATGTGAATACATTGCTTGGGCCACATCTCATCTCCCTGCCACTGGCGGGCAGAACCTGTTCCACCCTTTTCTTCTCTGATTTTGTTGAAGAGAAAACATAAGAGATAATAAGAAAGACATAGCATTTTTGCTAGTTTGAGATAAAGATAGCTATACAGAGAGATTACTAGTGTTACTTCCATGCACATATACATTGCAACCCACATTGGTTTGTCTCTACCAGACCTCTTCACTACAGGAAATAAGGTATTTTCATGTAGGATAAACAGATTAATTTTAAATGATTCACATTGTTTGGCAGAATAAATTTTAGAACTAAATATGTAATGTGATATTTATGTGAATATATTTATTATAAATATACTGTATTATACACATACAGAACTTTTTCTATGTGTACTTCAGTTTGATCTAGAAATGGGAAAATGCTGTACGAATTCTGTCAAGAGTATGGTTTTTAGCATTCTCTAAGTCTATGTGCTCAGTTCAAATGAGTTTTAAGCAGTGCGCCCATGGGAGGATATGAATGGCCCTGTGCTCACGGGCGCTCCTAAGGGTTGCTATGGGCTCTGCAGATTAGACTTGACTTTATACCATTCTTTTTGGGTAATTTATATTTAAATATTATTTGATAATTTAGAAATGTATATAGTATCATTACTTTATTAATCTGAAAACTAAACATCATATTTTAAAATGATTGGTCTGACTTTATTTTTCTTCTAGAGCCATGGAAAGAACCAGTTAATTATAAAATGGCAAATTCTTCCAGAAGTGAAAAACCTAAGATAAAAAGGAAGGTTTGTGGACAGTGTGAGAACAAAGATGCTCTACTAGTATGTACACTATAATAAACAGAGCTCTCACATGGCTTTGTACACCTCTCCCAACTTAACCTGCTTTCGTAGCCATGTACTTTTTTTTTTTTTTTGGTACTGTTACTATGGGTGACATGCGTATGCTGGTGAACAACACCAACGTCTGCACATGGTCACTGAATCTTGTCCTCTCATTCTTGTTTAAGAATGTCACTTTAAATCTTGTCTTCTCTTTTTTCAGTCATTCCTGTCAACAGCATGCAACAGTATCTCCCATCGAAAATCCAAACCCAAACCAAACTTTAACAAAAATTCTTCTTGACCTTCAGATCTCCTTCTGCACCTATTGTAATAAAACTCCTCTGAAAAATTGTGCATTCTTGCTGGCCATATATTCTCCCCGCCCATTCTCCATTATTTTTCTTAAGGTGTGGTCTACTTACTATGAAATGGGCAGATCTAAAATGTATAACAGATGCCTTTTGGCAAGCTATATAGCCCCATATCAATATACAGAAGCCGGGTACTTGTGGCTAACGTCTGTAATTCTACCTACAATGGAGGCAGAGATCAGGAGGACTGAGGTTCAAAGCAAATAGTTCATGAGACCATACATTGAAAATACCCAACACAAAAACAGGGCTGGTGGAGTGACTCAAGTGGTAGGGTGCCTGTCTAGAAAGCATGAGGCTCTGAGTTCAAATCCCAGTAATGACAGAAAAAAAAAAGGGCTACTCTAACCCCAGAAAGTTTCCTGGTGTCTCTTCCAATCCATTCCTACCAGAGGACACTGTTGTTCTGATTTCTAGCACCATAGATTTAGTGATGCCTATTTTGAACGTTATTTAAATGGAATGGTACAGTATATGTATATATTGACCTGTTTGCTCCACATAGAGATTAATCCATGTTGCTAAATTTATTAGCAGCTTTTTAATTTGTATTACTGACTAGTCTTCCACTGTATGGTTGTACCACAATTTGTTTATCCAGTCACATGTCAAATGACTTTAGGGTGGTTTCAAAGTTTTTTGTTTCTAGGTATAGGCTGCAATTTCCTATGTCTCTCTCTCTCTCTCTCTCTTTATTATATATATATACATATATATATATTCATTCTTCTCTTAAAAGTTATTAAGTGTGACAGGTGCCGGTGGCTCATGCCTGTAATCCTAGCTACTCAGGAGGCGGCCATCAGGAGGATTGTGGTTCAAAGCCAGCCTGGGCAAATAGTTTCTGAGACCCTATCTCGAAAATACCCATCACATAAAAATTGCTAGTGGAATGGCTCAAGGTGTAGGCCCTGAGTTCAAACTCCAGTACCACAAAAAAAGATGTTATTAAGTGAAACTGAAAAAAGTTCAGATAATAATGCTTTCTGATGGCTGTCTAACTTTTCATTGGCACCAGTTTTTTAAACAGTAGAAAAATTGTGGTTAGATATGCATAACACAAAATTTTCCATCTTAGCAATAACAGTATAGTTTGGTGGCACTAAGTACATTTGTCTTCTTAACCTTCCAACACTATCATCCATCCACATAACTCTTAAAAAAGCTGAACCTCCGAAAGCAATGCTAGGAATCTCTCTGTACAGCTCTTTGTTTAACTCAACTGGCAAAAATGCTTTGTCTTCTTTATTATGCTTATGTCTTTTCTTCAACAAAATTAGAGATAAGGGCAGAACAGTTTCTGCCTGGAAGTGAGGGGAGAGAGGGGGAGAGGGTAGGGGAGGGGGGAAGGGGGGAGAAATGACCCAAACAATGTATGCACATGTCAATAAATGAATAATAATAAAAAAAGCTAAACCTCTAACCCACTAAACAATAACACCATTCTTCTCCCCAAAGCCCTAGCAAACACTTTTTGCCTCTATGGATTTGAATACTCTAGGTACCTCATTTAAGTGGAATCATACAGTATTTTGTCTTTTTGTAACTGACTTATTTCACTTAGCATAAAGTCCTGAAATTTCAACCATTTTGTAGCATGTACCAGGACTTCCTTTTTAATAACCAAATAAATATTGCTATATATATATGTGTGTGTGTGTATATATATATATATATATGTGTGTGTGTGTGTGTATAATGTATATATGCCACATTCATCTATCTATCCATTGATGGATACTTGAGTTAAATTCAAGTTTTGGCTGTTGTAATACTGCTATGAATATGAGTATACAAATATATCTTCAAAACTGTTTTTAGATTTTTTTAAAACATATTCTCTGAAGTATTCTTCTCTCTCGAACACTATTTATTCAGTCTTGGGTCTTCACTGCTATCCACCAATTGTTCCTATCAAGTTTGGCAGTGATTTCCACATTCTTAAATACCACATTCAATTCTCAGTTCTTATCTTAATCTATTAGGAATATATGGCACACTACCCTTTCCTCATCTTGACTTTCTTCCTGAAGCTTCCTCTGGGACACCTTGCTACCTTGTTTAAGAGACTGGTTTTTGCTGGTTTCTTGATCTCTTAATGTTGGTATAACACCGAGCTCAGTTCTTGGGCCTCTCCTCTAACTTATCTGTTCTTATTCTTTAGGAAGCTTTATGTACCCCTTTGGCCTTAAAGGGCACATCTGCATAGATGATTCCCGAATTCACATATCTACCCCATACCTCGTCCCCAAAATTTTAACTCAAACAACCTACTTACCACTTCTGCCTGGAATCCTAATAGGCATCATTGATTTAACATGTTTAAAACTGAGCCCTTAATTTCTTTCCAACAAATATTTTTCTCTCCCAGTTTCCTCACATCAACAAATATCAATGCGTGTTACCTACTCTGGCAGCTTTTCAGGAAAACAGCGAAAGCTGGGTTTTAATCTCTAGGTTTGTAAAGATATTTCATTCATTTACATAACATTTTTGTCACCACTTAAAGTGTTTGTTTATTTTCCATGTAACTACAATGTAAGTTTCACAAGATTAGAGGTTTGTGTTATTTACTCTGTGTGCCCACCACTTAGGCTATGCTTTCAGTGTAGTGGGTACTCAACAATCACTTGTTGAATGAATCTTTTCTTTAGTTTTATCTCATAATATAAACTTCCCCTTCATTTAGAAGGTACAGTGATTTTTTTTTTGAAATTTAAAATACTCTCTGTGTGTGTAGTATGTGTGCATGTGTGTGTATGTGAGAGAGAGAGAGAGAGAGAGAGAGAAAGAAAGTAGTTTTCCCTGAATAATTTTATGATTAAAATTAATACTCTGAGTTTAATTAAAACTTCTTTTAAACAAGCCTAAGACTTGCTTTAAATCAGAAATGATTTGTGGATAAGTTCTTCAAAACCATAACATAATCTACACTTATATGTTATCATTATATATAATCACCATACTGTGCATTAGCACACCAAAACTTCTTACTTCATCTAACTATAATTTAGTGTGCCCTCATCAACCTCTGCCCATCCTTCCTTTTCTCTTACCTAGTCCTTACAGTCTCTGGTTCTACTCTCAACTTCTGTGAGATCAACTTTTTTAGATTCCACATATGGGTGAGATCTTGGGGTACTTCTGTTTCTGAGCTTGGCTTATTTCACTTGTCAAAATGATGTCCAGTTCTGTCCATATAGTAGCAAATGACAGGATATCATTCTTTTTATGGCTGAATAGTATCCCATCTGGATGGTATCCTATTCTCTTTTTCCATCAGTCAATAGGTACTTGGGTTGTGTACATTTCTTAGCTGTGGTAAATAATGATACAATGAACACGGGAGTGCAGATGTGTCTTTGACATACTGATTTCATTTCCTTTGGACATTTAGCCAGCAGTGTGATTGCTGGATCATATGGTAGTACTAGCTTTCCTTTTTTGAGGATCTTTCTTATTATTCTCCATACTGATTATACTAACCTACATTCCTGTCATCAGTGTTCAAGGGTTCCCTTTTCTCCATATCCTCACCAGCACTTGTTATCTTTAGTCTTTTTGGTAATGGCCATTATTACTAAGATAGGATGATAATCTCATTGTGGTTTTGATTTACATGTCCCTGATGGTTGGGGATCCTGAACATTTTTTTTTCATATAGCTATTGGCCATTTACCGTCTTCTCTTGGAAAATGCACATTTGGGTCTATTGCCCATTTTTTATTGGGTTATTCTGTTTTAGAGCTCCTTATGTATTTTTATATATTGAGCTCCATATGTATTCTGGATATCAACTGCTTATCAGATGTATGGCTTCCAAATTTTTCTTCCTTGCTATTGGTGGTCTCTTCTCTCTGTTGTTTGTTTCCTTTCTGGTGCAGAAGCTTTTTACTTTGATGTAATCTCATTTGTTTGTTTTTGCTTTTGTTTCCTGTTATTTTAGGCTCTTGTTCAAATAATCCTTGACCATTCAAATGTCCTGAAACATTCCCTCTGTGTTTTCTTTCAGTAGTTTTATAGTTTTAGGTCTTATATTTAAGTCTGTAACTCATTTTATGTTGACTTTTGTACTTGGTGAGAGATTGGAGTCTACTTTCATTCTTCCATATGTGTATATATGATTTTTATAAAAGACTATTTTTCTTCTAGTGTATGTTTTTAGAACCTTTCTCAAAAATTTATGGGCTCTGGATGTATGGGTTTACTTTGAGACTCTTCATTCTCTTCAATTGCTTTATGTATGAATTTTTTCAAACCATGTTTTTTTTTTCATTTATTCACATGTGCATACATTGTTTGGGTAATTTCTCCCCCCATCCTTCCCCTCCTTCCCCCCGCCTCAGTTCCAGGCAGGCCTTGTTCTGCCCTATCACTAATTTTGTTGAAGAAATGACATAAGCATAATAAGGAAGACAAAGCGTTTTTGCTAGTTCAGTTAAGGATAGCTATACAGAGAGATTCCTACTATTGGTTTCATGTACCCATGTGTTACGACCCATGTTGATTCAACTCTAACTGATCTTTATGTTGGTTCCTGATCCCCTGTTCATGATAACCTCTGTCGTTCTAAGGTCTCTGTATTAGTTCCTCTGGTTTTGATTATCACAGTTTTGTAGTATATTTTGAAGCCAGGTAGTGTAATGCCCCTCGCCTTTTTCATTTGATCAAGTTGCATTTGACTATTTTTGGGAGTTTTAATGATTCTATGCAAACTTAGGAATGTTTTTTTCTGGTTCTGTGAAGAATGCCACTGGTATTTTGATAGGGGATTGCAATGAATTCATAGATTGCTTTGGGTAGTCTGTATATTTTAATAACATTGATTTTTCTAATGCAAAAACATGAGATGTCTATTTTTATGACTTCTTCAGTTTCTACATTTTTATGTCTTCTTCAATTTATTTTGGCAATGTTTTATAGTTTTTGTAATAAAGATCTCTCAATTCTTTGATTAAATTAATTCCAAGGGATGATTTTATGCAATTGTGCATGGGATTGCTTTCTTTGTTTTTATGTTGGGTAACTGGCTATTGGCATAGAGTAATACTACTGATTTTTGGATATCAACTTTGTATCCTGCATCTTTGTTCAATTTATTACTTTAAAAGGGTTTTTTTGATAGAGTCTTTGATGTTTTCTATATAAAAGATCATGTTATGTGCAGTGACAACTTGACTTCTTCTCTTATAGTTTGGATTCCCTTTAGGTATTTGTCCTGTCTGATTGCTGTGGCTAGCCCTTCCAGTTCTATGTTGAATAAAATTGATAAAAGAAGCTATCTATGTCTGGCTTTAGGTTGTAGGGAGGCAGATTCTGGGTTTCCCCAATTCATTAGGAAGTTAGTTGCTAGATTATTGTATGTGGCCTTTTTTATGTTGAGGTATATTCTTTCTATATACAATTTGTTCAGTATCCTCTTCTGGAAGGGATGTTGAGTTTTACCAAATATCTTTTCCCTACTATTGAGATGACCATATAATTTTTATTTTTCATTCTGCTAATGTAGTATAACACATTTAATGATTTGCATATGTTGATCCATCCTTGTTTCTTGGTATTAATCTCCCTGAATCATAGTGAGTAATCTTTTGAATTTGCTATTTTATTCAGTTTGCTAGTATTTTATTCAGTCTGTTTATCAAGGATATTGAGCTACAATTTTCTTTGTTGTGTGACCTTGTTTATTTTTGGTATCAGATTAATAGAATTTGTTTAGAAATATCCCCTCTTTGATATTTTTTGGAGTAACTTAAGAATTGTTATTAATTCTTCTGTAAATGTTTGGTAAAATTCAGGAGTTAAACAGTCTGGTGCTGGCCTTTTCTTTTATAGAAGTCTTTTTATTACTGATTTAAATCTCATTACTTTTTGTTGGTCTTTTCAAGTTTTCTGTTTTCTTCATCACTCAGTGTTGGTAAGGTCTATGTGCACAGGACTTTATCCATTTCTCCTGGGTTATCTAATTTGTTGGCATATACTTGTTCACAACAACTTCTAATGATATTTTGTATTTCTGTGGTACAATTTGTAGTCTCTCCCTTTTCATATTTTGATGTTATTTATTTAAGTCTCTTCTCTTTTTTTCCTTTAGTCTAGCTGAGTTCTTCTTAAAAACTATGGAACTTGTACAGTATGACATAAGTAATAGGGCTTAACATAGAAATAAAAGATTTTTTTTTATAGAGAAGGTAAAGTAAGAAGAAGGAAATACCAAATGAGATAAATGGCACATGCCTTTGCTGGAAAGCAGATGAGAGTAACAATGTTATATTTTTATTAGTGTATACTAACTACACAGAATAAGTACAGTTAACCGTGGTAATTCCATACATGCATATAATGTGCTTTGATCATATTCATGCCCTCTAATACTCTTTCTTAAAAAGGATTTTCTTTGATTTTAAATGAAAATGTTATTCCATGATAAATGATAAACCATTTACAAATCATGTTAGAATGAAGTATATCATAGTGTTGTTAAATTTTGAGGTTATCTTTTGTTCTTAACTTCTATCATTGTGCATGATTTTGGTGACTGCAAAACAGGAATACATATATCTCACTGATATTCACCAGGGAGAATTGTATGTTTGTTGGAGTTAGAGGTTTGCATTTTGAAAGTTCAAACCTCATCTTTCCCCGTTATTAGGTATCTGGCCTTTAGCCACAAATACCTATGTCTATATCACAAAGTTACTGATAAAATAAGTTGATGCATTGAAGTATTTAGTATGTGTATGACACATGCAGAGGAGACAATAACTTAATAATTTGTTCAATTTTGTTTTTGGCACATTATCTTATGATATGATGGCATTTGCTAATATTGGTGGCAAAGATAAAATCCAAAACTTCCCAAATTCTTATTTTTCAAAGAAATTACAGTGGCTTTATGCTGAGTCTTTATGACAAAAATAAGGATAGTTTAAAGTATAGATTAATTTGGCATATGTGGATAACTTAATTAAACTCAAGGGCATTCTGAAGACGTAGTACAACTGATCTGGAATTCATCAAATCAACAAGATATTTCTTAAAATGGCACTTGGGAATTCCATCATCAAAGCAGCGCATGTGGTGGAATGGCATCCTGATCCACATTTTCATTATGTTTCTGCCAGTTGGCGGTCATTTTAACCCAATTTAAATCCAAATATGCTTGTATAACAAAATACGTACGCTTACTCTGCAACTCTAGCTTTGATCTTCCAGTCTGCAAATATCTATTTGGCTACTTTCATTAAAAATCTGTTAACAAAGTCTTGGCATAGAATTATATGCTGAATCTGATTTTCAGTTCTCTGTATCATTCTGTATTATAGAAATTGGCAAATACATATGAGAAATAATATTATCAAGTATGTTAAATAAAAATTGTGCAGAATACATTTTGAAATCTATATTAATACAAATGCTTATGTGAAATTATAGTTTTAAAACTTGTTTTACACTTAAAAATTTTGCAATTAGGATATTTTAAATCATGATTTCTCTGAGAGACTGTAGCTCTTGAAGCAAGAGTAGAAAGGGTTTCCATGTGGTGATAGTGTTTATTTTTCTATTTCTTAAATAACAGATCCAGTTCTACGTAGTTAATCACATTTGAAAAAATTCATTAGGATTCTGAGAAACACTAGGGCATTCAATTATTTGAAATATTAAACTTAATTTTGTTACAGTTTTTAATCAAGATTTTTCAATAAAGGATTAGTGCTGCAATTAATGGCCAGTGGTTGACTTAATTACCATTTATGTTTCTCATGGTTAAAGCTTGAGCTTTGAGCCAGGCATTGGGGCTGAAATTCTGGCTCCACCATTAGGTTATATGACTGTGGCGAATTCTCAATTTTTATGTTCCTTTCTTACCTTAAATTCTCAATAGAGATACAATCATTTTTCTAACCTTAAAAGGGTTTTGTGAGGATGAAGTGAGATTGAACATATGCAGCTTCTAGAACCATGAGCAAGTGCTCATTAAGTAGGTATCGCTAATGTTATTTCATCCTAGCTCCTCTTTTGTGAATTCATTTCAGTTATATAAAATTTCTTATATCTTTAAAGCTTTTTAGAGTTGTCCTAATCATTTTATATTTAATAAACTTGTCTGAGTTATTGTATATAGCCTGTTGTCACGCAGAAACTTTTAATGTAATTTTTAAAAATTAATGAACTTCAGCTTCCTATTGGATGATTTATAATGAGAGTTGAGTCTACTTTGCTATGTCTCATACATCCTCATGCTTTGTTACTCAGTGTGTGGTCTATACCATGTCAGCAGAAGTATCACCTGGGAGCTGCGAGAATGCAGGAAATCACGTTCTCCCCCCACCCCACCTGGCCTACTAAGCCAGAGCTGTTATTGTAACAAAACCCAGGTGATTCGCCTGCACAGTACAGTTAGAGGAGCATCTGTACCCATTTCAGTCTGCCATTAGCCAGTGCAGGCTGAAGAACTTAGCTGTCCTCTTGCCCACCTCACCCAGTTACTTCTTATTTATTATTCTCTGATACTAAGAAAGAAGTAGGGTGGAGAACGGTGGAGACTTCTCTCCAAGTCTTCATGCTTTCTTTTTCATGCTCCTGGTCCTTCTTTGTAACCTGAACCAAACTGAAGAAAATGAGGGATCTTAGCCATTTGTACTGCTATTTACCATGTTGTTGGTGATCTTGCAGCAATGGTAAAACTGCACAGTAGTAATTTCATTTCTGTTAAAAATTCATTTTCTTTTCTCTTTTACTTTCAGTATTACCATCAAAGGTATAGGTATATCACATAACTTATCTGTATATTAAAAATTACATTTTAAAATCATAGAGAAATTAGAAGCTAAATACAAACTTGTTAGTAATCATTTCACTAGTCATAAACGTTGTGGAGAGTATGATCCAATTTAATTCAGGTTTTTTTTCCTTCTGTTTTCTTTCCTTTGAGGGCTCTTGTAAGAATACATTCAGAACTGTATTTTGAGACTCACCCATGAAAGAGCACCTTTCATGGAAGTATATGAGGATTTCTGGAGGGATTCTCTCTCTCTCTCTCTCTCTCTATCTATCTATATATATATGTGTATATATACATGTGTGTGTGTATATACATATAGTTTGAAATTGTTTCATATAAATCCATACACAAGTCATAAATAAGTCACAAAATAATAAGTCATAAAAAATCATAAAAATGTAAAAAATATTTACCTAGACATATGCTGTTTTTAAAAATCAGGTCAAGAAGTTTAACTTGATGCTATAGAAATTTTATAATTTACTCAGAAACTGCAACTACATAAATGTCTCTAACACACATATCTATCACCTACTTTGCAGCTATTACATTTACTTTGATATCAGAGTAATTAGTATTTATGAGTGAGTTTTTCTTGGGCTTCTCAATTCTGATGATATTTAGGCATGAAATTTTAGATACAAATGTGAGAACAATGACATCTTTATGTAAATATTTACTCAGAAACCTACTGTCTGTCATGTGTATTTCTTTGAAGGTATGCCTTGAATGTGGTGAAGATTATTGTTCAGGATGTTTTGCTAAAATTCACCAGAAGGGGGCACTGAAGCTCCACAGAACAGCACTCTTACAGGTATGACTTTCTAAAATGCTTTATTTGCAGTATATTTATAAAATGTTTCAACATAAAGACACTTACAACATTATCTAGAATTCAGGATGATTTACATTAATTTGTAAAATTGTATTATGCACAGACAGTCTTGACATATACCTTAAATTTATTTTACTGAACACTAATTTAAATGCTATTTTGCTATTTAAAGTGTGTTTTAATATAGTTCCTGAAACACTTAGCTTGATTACAGTCTTTATGCATTCTATCCACGAACTTGACATTTAAAATTAGACTATATTTTTATCCATTGTGGTTTTAAATGAACACGTGGCTTACTTTAAGTATTGTTTCTATCTAGTGTATGAGTAAAAATTTCTTAGTTTTCCTAAACTCATCTCTCAGGTTTCTGCATTTCTTTTCACATATTAGGACCTTTTATACTCATTGCCCTTTTTAAAAAAATCACCAATCTTTAAGATATCTAAACTCAAACCCTGTTCAATGGCTTTAAAAATTCTAGTTCTTAAGCAATAAATATGGTTAGATATACTGTTATATTTAATGGTGCACTGATTGTCACAGATTTAATTTATTTTACAGTAATTTACTCAATAAGTGTGTATCGAGTACGATCTAGGAAGCAGGGTTGTGCTAGGCAATGACCTCATACAGTGCTAGGACGCGGGAGGTAAAAGCGAGTGAGCTCCAGAGACCTTGTAAAATGCGTTAAGGATTCTTGTAGCTAAAGGGGAGTTGGTGGTCAGATCTGTATTTCAGAAGACCTGGATAGATTTCAATCTTCACATGTCCCTCAGGGTAAATATTACTAGCTCTGAAAGATGCTCATGATGTCAGTTACGATAGTCACAAAACATGTACTAGACCTGACTCATTTTCCCAAGTGTGGTTGGGTTCAAGTCACCATTCAGTGTTCAGACCTTTTAGCAATGCTGTACAGACTACTCCACTGTAAGTTCATAGGAAGGATTTTTCATTCAGTGCTTTATTTATTCAACACATTTTTCTGAGTTGTCACTCAATGAAGTTAAGCACTGTGCTGACTGATAGGGAAGATACAGTGAAGAATGAGACATGCTCCTTTCCTTATCTTCAGTATTTAACCCTCAAAATTTATCTGAGTTTGTTCTCACTCTCTCTCTCTTTCTCTCTCTGTCTCTCTCTCTCTCTCTCACACACACACACAATTTTGATGTGATATGGCTTTCTGTTCTCCAGAAAAGATATAATATGTATCAAATCATTCTTATTAAAAGCAACCCAACATATAGGATGCTTTACAAACATTGAACACTTTTCATTCCATAGTAGCATAATTAAAATCCATCTTATATCTTAAGCTAGAAGAACGTGTTCTTTGTAGTTTACAATCTTACTGTTTGGAAAAGGGAGGGGAGAGGGATGTTAAGGGAATGTAATGGAGTGAACTTGTTCTAAGCACACTATGTGCTGCTATGTCATTATCACAATGAAATCCTGTTTTACTATTAATGTATGTTAATAAAAATAGTAAAAAAAAGATAAAATTCCAAATATAGAAAGATAAGGGAAGTAAAAATGTATATTTTTAACTACACTTTTTTTATAATTAAAAAAATACACCTTTTACATAAACTCCCTCTGGGTTAGGTAAGACCTAGGCATGGGGCACTTATAGCAACCCACAGCCTGTTTTTCCATCTTTATTAAGGTACAGTTGACAGATACCAATTGTATACTTATGGGCTACAATCTGATGTTTTGATATACATAAGCATTGTGAAATAATTGTCCAAATCAAGCTAATAAGCATATCAAAAACTTCATATCACCATTTTCTTGATTTCTTTTTTTTCCTTTTAATTTCTTTTTCTGTGATAAGAACATTTATGGCACTTCCAGCATCACATTTTCTGATTTTGATTGCAGAGGAAGAAAGGTTGATAAGCCACAAATAGTAAAATGGTATTTAAGTTTCCAGTGAATCTCAAATTGTAGAAGACACATTTATCTCTAAATGTTAGCATGAATGAAGTCTATATATATGTGTGTGTACAAAATGCAGTACATATAAAATAATCATGGATCCATGACAGGCTTCTTCAAACACAAGAATTCTTTCATTTATAAAACTAATGTCAAATAATGCTAAAGAACTGTGTCTAACAACAACAACAACAACAACAAAAAAGAACTGTGTCTATATATTTTTTGGTGGTCCTGAGATTTGAACTCAGGGCCTTGTGCTTGCCAGCCATTTTTGGTTAGTTGCTTTTGAGATGGGGTCTTGCTTCAAGACCAGGCTGGCCTTGACTATAGTCCTTCTATTTATGCTTCCCCCCATGTAGCTGGGATGATAGATGCACCACTATGCTCAGTGGTTGGTTGAGATGGGAGGGTCTCATGAACATTGTGCCTGGGCTGGCCTTGCATTCCAATCTTCCTAATCTCTGCCTCCCATGTAGCTGTGAGACACAGTGCCAAACCCAAGAAACATGTCACTAACGTGATGCCTTTGGGTGAGTCCTGGTAAGTGCACTTACTCTTTGGGAAGTGGAATTGTGATACTGGTACTCAGCACAGTATGCACAGACCACCTGTACTGGAAACTAAACCTATACCTTATTTCATCCACTGAGACAGCAATGGAATGAAGTAATTTGAAGCAGACAATATTTTCTGAGTAATTCAAGTAAATTTGTGCATTTATTCATAATACAAAAATTGTGAAAACACTTTTTTCTTTCTATGCTTAGCTTAATTCACTTAAGATTTTCAAGTTTACCCAAGTTGTAGGATTAATTACATTATCTGTTTTTTGAAGGCAGTATTATTTTCCATTGTGTATATAGAGGTGCTTTTATTACAAGGAAAAAGAAAAGTAACTGTGTGGTACTAGATATATAAATATACTATACAGTGATAACCATCACACCATGAGTATCTGTACTTTATGTTTGTATATGTATATCAAAACACCTTGGATACCTTTACATACAATAATGAATGAATAAGTAATACAGTTATTTCAAGCAATTTCAAAATGTTTTACATACATCTTCCCATCTTAGTAAGTAGATCACACTGAATACAGCTTCACCATTTAATAGTGAATCGTTTCCATTATTTTGATTACCTGAGATTGCAACATTTAATAAGAAAGAAGTCTCAAACTGCTCACTGAGTTTGTGTAACTGTACAATCCTCCAGATTTGCTGTTTGGTTAGGACTTTTTCTCAGATCATGGCTTTATTCTTTCTCTGCCATCACTTCTACACTTTAATTATTTCTCTAGTTTTTGCCATTTTATTCCTATCTCTGTCCTTTCTTTATTCTTTTACTTTTTTCAGTCATCTTGCTTTTCCTCTCCCCTTGTTTCCATGGTTCTCCCCTATCTCTTACACACAAGTGCTTTTGTTGCTGAGAGTTGGCCTATTAATGGTCTCTTGATTATGAATGAGTGAATATTTCTGCCTGCATGGCCCTTGTTAACCATGCATATTGTGCTTTTACTTTTTCACTGTTTTGGTAGCTATTGATGTTATGAGGTTATGTTGACTGCTGAATTCATACCTAATCTGAGACATTAAGGCTGACATGTGATAGGTGGACATTAAGCATTACCATATAAAGAGCAAGCATTCTAGGCCAATTTCTGTCATACTTCATATTTTCTAACCTACGATGCAATTTCTGGTTATTATACAGTAGATATATTTAATACTTGTACACAATTTCATCCCTTATTCTACAACCCAGCTTGGCCTGTGACTCAGTTGCTATGGGCCATTTTGTACCAGCTTATCTTGTTTTACTTAATAGATAAATCCCTGAAACATTGAAAGCAACCTAGTTATTACTATTTCCATTTTGACTAACATTACAACTTCAAAGGACTTTTTTTTGATTTATGATTGATTTATACTTGGCAGTGATTCCAAACGTTTCAAGTTTCTTTGCTTTCTTCAACCTCTGGTAAGTAGTTAACTATATGCAAAATAAAACTTAAATATATGATATATTATTTTCCTTTCAATAATAAATGCTCAGGTAGAAGAGACAAGAGAGAATAAAATATTGTAGAAAAACAAAGGGTATTCTGTTGTGAAATATGACATGCATGAGGAGGCTAGATTTAGTAAACTATCAATAAATTATGGTAAGTATCTTTACTTAATTGGAATGAAGATGTTTTGAACTGGAAAGAAGAAATCTTGGGAGGCCAGCCAAGGTAAAAAAAGTTAGCAAATCCTCATCTCAACAAACAAGTTGGGTGTGGTGGTTTACTTTTGTAATACCAGGTATGTGGGAGGCATATGTAGGAGGATTTTCATTCTAGACCAGGTCAGGCAGAAAAGCTAGACCCTATATGAAAAATAATTAAAGAAAAAGTGGCTGGATTGTGTGTCTCGTGGTAGAACACTTGCCCAGCAAGTACAAGGTCCTGAGTTCAAACCCCAATGTCATAAAAAAAAAAGTAAAGAAATTTTGATAAGGGTGATGTTTAATAATGAAAGAAGAGCCCATCAAAGTTGAAATTCCATGTTTTCTGGTATCTTCAAAGAAAGATATGCCTATATAAATGTGGATATGTTGGGTATATTTGTTTGCATGAACAGGCTTATAGGGACCAAACCTCAGGCAATATTATAATTTTTGCTTAGAATTTTATAGCTGATTTTTTAAACAGGGGCAAATCTGACTAAAATGAGGAGGGAAATGACCCAAATAGTAAAATCAAAAATGAAAAAGGAGTGATAACAACAAACACTAAGGAAATCCAGGGAATCATGGTACACTGCTTTGAGAACATATATTCCAATGAATTAGGAAATTTTGAAGAAATGGACAAATTTCTAGATACTTACAACCATCCAAAACTGAACCAAGAGGATATTAACCTCCTAAACAGTTTTATAACATGTAATGAAATTGAAGCAGCAATAAAGATTCTCCCAAAAAAGAAAGTCCAGGACCTGATGGATTCTTAGCTGAATTCTACCAGACCTTCAAAGAAA